TGACTTATGCCGTTGGTTTAATGACAGTTCAAGTTACAACAGCCTAGGAAAAAGTGACTTATCGCCTTTGAAATTAAAAGCATTGCACCATCCCTGTAATCAGAACTGAAATCTGGGTGCTTGGAAACAGGCTCACATTTACAACAGTTGCACCATCTTGTACTCAAGCGATCAGGATTTGCAACCTGATCCAACTGGCATTCAGTTGGAATTTGCTTTTCTCTAATCCATTATTTTATGCGGCGACAAAGGCAGGTTTTGGTCTTCTACATGTCACCCTTACAGAAGTTTCATAACTGCCTCTGCATCCTCCTGAGAGTTCGCTTCTCGGGGCCAAATATACCACTTTCCTCAATCTTTCCTTGAGGGTTTCTAGTGCCTGGATCATCCTTTGAACCAATTCCAAATCATCTGATGATTATCTGTAAAGAACAGACTGCCAGTATTGGAATTTGTCCAAAAGGGCCCTGCCGGTTATAATACTCTTGGTATTCATCATTCAATGCAGCTTTTAAAAGAAGAATCTCTGAAGAATTATTATAAAAACTTCAGAGATGTTTCCACAGAAAAACAGGCGCTCTTGGCTGCTGCAACTGTTTACATTTACAGCATGCTGGCTGTAATGATTCATTACGTCCAGGTTTCTTCTGTAAGATGCGATCCCAGTCCTGGCAGATAAATCTAAATAAAGCAGGTACAGAGCCCCAGCCCAAGGAGTTGCTTCTCAGCGCTCGCAGGGCCGAGAGAAGCGGAACTCCTCTGGGACTGGAGCAGGAGAATGGCGTTTTCCCCTTCCAAAGAGGCAGCTCACTTGAATAAATACTTTGCCCACACAATGCAGTGGATGGGTTCAGACGGAGTGTTCCGAATGGTGCAGCCTGGAAACGTTTTCTGGGTTGGCTTAGGATGACATTCATAACACTCTGTCACTCCCTATTGAAAGAAAAAACAGGGGAAAAAACGCCGTAGAGTATTGATAATTTTTGAGGGTTACAATGCTGCAGCATCAGAGACCAGAAAGATAATAATGTCCTACCTTTTTGATAACAGTGACTTGCCCAAGATAGCCTGCGGTTCCACTTTCTATAAGAGGGATATCAGCAGCCAAACACATCCTGTTCACGTGGTTACGGGCAGCTGGGCAAAGAGATGACCATTACTGACTTCCAAGAACCAAAAGATCTACGTTCAAAACTGCCACATTTCTCCCGAAAGAACAGTGATGTCAGTCCTACAAAATAGACCTGACTAAAATAGCTGTCTTCCAATATTTGAGGGGCTTCACAGAGGTCAACCTATTCTATGCACCCCATGTTATTATGAAATACAGTGAAAGAGATGTAGCAAATATTTGGGGTTACAAATGTATTTGTCTGTTAAAAAAATGTAAGATGCAAAGAGAAATCTCACCTCTGTTATCTAAGGCATTCATTACTAGGATGAACTGACGAAAAAATTCCACATTATAATCAGGGCTGCAGAAAAAGATCACATACCTGTTAGTTAAATCAAATGAAACCTATGTAAATACAACCTTTTCCAAACATCAAATCACTAGGCTTGCAATTCCACTGGTTACCCAGTCCATTACACAAACTGCATGGATTAGCAGGTTAATTCAAAAATACTTTCAGTTAATATATCAAAACAGTTTGAAGAAAAATAAAATGGGCTGTTTTATTTCAGGCTGGAAAGCTAATTGATAGAAGATCACTGCTCTTTCCACAACCTGTTTCTTTAAGCAAAAGCTAGTTACGATCCAAACAAAAACATTTTATTTTCTGAATAAAATTGACTCTGTTATATCTAGGCAGATATCTAGCGAAATCTGTCTTTGTTTGGAATATGCATAGCTGATAACAAGGTGATGGTTTCAGAAGTTTCAGGAGCTATCAGATATTCTGTGTTACCAAATCAGAATTAAGTAAAAAAAGAAAATTCAAATGGTCTGATATCTTACAATGCTACAAGTTATGGAAGAAACTCAGCTGTGTGTGATAAAAAAAATTATTTCCAAAATACACATTTTTAAAAAATAAGCACTAAAAACACTTAAGAACAAGAATCAGACATACTTCATAATGCTGTCATGATAAGCAATAATATTAGCTTGTGGGTGAAATTGTAGCACGCTTTCCTTGGCAACCTGCAAGAGATCAAGAAAGCATGTTTATACCCAAGAACCGGGGGCTGGGGACCCCCTGCTCTAAGTCCTAAACAACTTATGATTTTACTTAGTGCCCAGATCTGAATGGCTTTGGAGTTGTAATTTTTGTTTGTTTTTTAAATATATTTTTGTTATTCCTTGTTTCTTTGATTTTAACACAGTACTAGAAACCCAAGGCCACAATTTGTAAGTTAGAAAGACACAAAATTGAATAAAATAAATGAATATTTAAGGAACAGTTTGTACAATGAAAAATGGAGAGGAACAAATGAAAATGACTTCTTGAGAGGATATAAATGGTGAATAATTTAAATTAGGTGAAAAATATAAGAAACTGTGTATACTTAGGATTCCTCTTACCTGAGCTTTTGATCTCCCAACGTGCTTCTTTTGAAACAAGAACTGCCTATTGAGATTACTGACATCAATGGTATCCAGATCAATCTAGAAATATAGTAATTGTAGTTACCAGATCTGTTCAGATGAATTAACAAAAGCATATGTTATGCATATTAGAGATCACGGTATTGCTTTTTGGATTAGGAAGGACCCAGAAATATGGACCACCCCTTTTCTGTGCACAATAATCTTGTACATCCATGAGTGGCAAATGGCTCAAATGGGTCTCTTCTTTGTATGCTTAAGACTTCACATAGGGGCTTTGATAATCCCATAATTATTGGAATGCAAACAGAAAATTTGAGTCCAGGTTCAGTCATACTTAAACTAGAATAATTGAAATCAGTGAGACTTTGGTTAATCAAAGTATCAGTGGATTTGCTCCCAGTATAATTAAATCTGAATCCAACCTACTGCGCATTAAAAATATACCCTTCTATCCTATTTTCTAGCTTTTACTTTGCAGTAATCAACAAGTAATAACTGATTTTCATTTGCATTATAAAATAAAATCAGTGATGTTCCAATATCATAATTTGTTTGTCCTACCACTATGTCCCGGTGAAGTCAAATTAAAGAATGAGATTAATCAATAAAACGTAGCTAAACTAAGCTTTATTAGCAGAAAAAATGTTACCTATACCCATCCCATACAGGTGCAAAAGTACACTTATCTCAGCTAGAAATATCTATAAGGACATAGCAGTTTATGGATGTCTGAAAATATCATTTGAAATCCTCTACAATTTTTGTATTATTTGTGATATTAAAGTTTGAATTTTAAGCATTTTATATTTCCTGCATATCCCAAGCTGTTGTGAAAACAATGCACAATTCTTTTACAAATACACAGCAGTCATTGTACACACTGAAACAGACTCCTCCCAATCTTAAGGAATTTTGTAAATAACAACTTTGTAAATAACAACTTTGCAGGGAATAGATTTCAAAGAGTTGCAATCGACAGCAGAAAAAGCTCAGTTATGAATAGACAATCTTGTAGCAACCACAGGCAAACTATAAGTATAAAGACCTATTAAATGCATTTATAAAACATATTCAGTTTCACTAGTTTTAACCTGGGGAGGTCACTTTTTATCTTAATGTTGAGCTAGTGTAAATTGCAATGTACTAATCCAGGAAAACGGGTTAACGTATAACTTAAGTGAGCTACTTTGCACATACTTTCATAAGATTTCAAAAGCACCTAACGAATAAAGAGAATAAGGCTTCAGATATGAAGAGCAGAAAAACTGAACCCAAAATCCAGACCACTCGTCTAAGGTGAACTGCCTGCCCTGACAGGAGCCCAACAGACAGACAGTTCTGGGCGGCCCACGAGGGCCGAGGCTGCTCTTTTCCTTCCTTTGTTTCTTTCTTTCCAGGCTCTCCGCGTGGAGGTTCCGCCCTCAGCAGCCCCCACTTCTAAGCGGGCCAGGCCACAAAACTGCCCGCAAAAGCCTTAGAGGGACCCCTGATCGGGGCAGCTCCGGACGGCCGCTCCCTCGCCATCTGCCCGGACCAGGCGGCGGGAAGGGCGGCCGAGGGGGCGGCGGGAGGCGGCCCAGGGTTCTCGCGAGGAGGCCCCGGGCCACCAGCTCTGCTGCAAAGGAGGCCGGGTCCCTCGGGCAGCTCCCTCCGCCGGACACCGGTTGCAGCTGCGAGCCCCGCCGCTTCCCGCTCTCCGGCGTCCCCGCCTGGATGCTCAGCCGGTGCGCCAGGGCTGCTCTCCCGGGGACCCTCCGGCCCAGCCCCGGCCCGCCTGCCCTCCGGGGAGCCCCTCGGAAAGGCCCAGCGCCGGGCGGCGGGGAAGGCGCCCCCCCCCCGCGGAGGAAGGAGGCGCCCTTCCCGCGCCGCCACCAAGCCCCGCCCCTCCCGGGGGTGGAACGCGGGCGGCCCGCGGGCGCCGAGCCGCGCGAGCTCCCGGGCCTCACCACGTCGATGTGGGCGAAGCCGGTGAGCACCAGGTCCTTGAGCAGCTCGCAGCCGATGCCGCCGGCGCCCACCACCAGCACCCGGGCGCGCGCCACGGCCTGGGCCAGCTCCCCCTGCGGGGCCAGCGCCGCCGCCGCCGCCATCCGAGCGCTGAGGAAGCGGGCGGGAAAAGGGACGGCCAGGGACTCCCGCGGGGCGCCGCGCATGCGCCGCTCCTCACGCCGCCTCCGGCGACCGTCACCACAGAGCAGGAAGCGTTCTCCCAGAGCGGCCGCTGCCCTCGCTGCTCGGCGGCCCCTAGCGGCCGGCAGGCAGCAGCGGAGACAGAGCCCAAAAATGAGATTAGAACTCTCCGTCCAGACCCCGCACGGAATCGCCTTTGGTGGAGACCGGAGACTGGGAAAAATCCATGCCACCCATACGGGTGAGAAGGGAACTACACACACACATACACACACACACCCCTACAGTAACAGTAAAAAATACATGAAATCATCGCAACAGTACAATATTTATTAATCAAATTCATACCATGTTGCAGCCATGTGACTCTTGGTAGCTCACAAGATTAGGAACGTATACTAATCCCAACACAGGATATCAGGTCTCGAACGCCTGCTGGAAAAGCTGCCTTCTGCTTTCTCTGAAAGGCAGACTAAAGGGGAGGCAGAGGAAGGGACCTGTTAAGGTCATTCTAGAACACCAAAAAAGCAGAGCCTCCGGGGTCACATCCATGACCTCCCCGAAATGGAGAACAGATAGCTGCCTTTCCTCACAATCTCAGAACGGTCAGCCCAGCTGCAGCAGGAGATGCAGAAACCAGCCCCCGACATGAAGTGCTTGACAGTCGTGCATGGGGGCGCCTATGCAGAATATATGCTTCTGAGCCTGGACAAGGCTAGGCAGGTAGGACCAGTGGAGGACAACATTTCTCTTTTACACAAATTACAGGGCCTCGTGATACCTGGTTCAGTTTTCTTGTGTGTCTTCGGTTAGGCAAGGAATTAAATAGAATCTATTTAAACAATTGCTGGTCTGGATCTTCTTGTACAAAAATAAATTCTTCCAAGGGTGAAGAACAACCGGCTATCCAACAACTTTTCTCACACGTGTATACTACTGCTGTTCCAAATTCTATTGATGTATCTGCCAAAAAAAGAAGAGCTTTTTCAGGGTTATTGCCCTCATTACAAATGCATGTAAAAAGATAATTTATGAAAGTGTTGTCTTTAAAATTCAACCGCCCCCCCCCCCATCAGCACCATAACAGTAGTCTCTCAAAAAATGCCTCAAATGCTCAATACCTGAGGGAAGAGACAGGTCTTAACAGCCTTCTGGAAAGCAAGGAGGGACTGAGGCCTTTGTATTTTAGGGGAGAGGGCTGTTCCATAGGGTAGGCAGAGTTATAGAAAATGCTCATCTCCTGGGTTCCACCAGATTACACTTAACAGAGGAGATCCGGAACAAGCACCTTATCCAATCTAGTGGGATGGGCAGGTACCATCTAGGAGAGCAGATCCCTCAAATAACCTGGCCCTGTGGCATGCAGGGTTTTAAAAATGACACCCAGCACCTGGAAAGAAACGGGAAACAAGTGCAACTTGTGCAGCAGCAGTTAAGGGCAAGGTCCAGGCAGCCATAGCTCCAATGGGAGGTGACCACAATATGAGTCTGCGGTCATGAGCAAAACTCCCAGTCAAGGAATGGACACAACTAGAGCACAACATGAATTCATGGCAAGGCCCTGTGGACTGTCAGCTGCTCCTCAAGAACAGGAGCTAGAATATTCTGAAATTCACCTGGCAAGGGAAAAAAGCTAGAATCAAGATTGAAAATGTTACAAGAATCTAAAGAAAATGGAGGCTTTGGATTTCCGGACTGGGTTTTATACTGCCAAGCATGTGCGTTAACATGGTTAAAGGAATGGATTACTCTTAGAAATAAAAGATTACTATATTTAGAAAGATATGATGGTCCAAGCATGTGGAAAAAAATAATTTATTGTAAGAGAAATTCATAGGGTGAATGGAACAGCCAAACCCAGACTGACAAGGCATTTGCAAACAGAAGCAGTATATAGGCAGAAATTAGCTGAACAGCCTTCTATTCTGAAGTAGAACCTTCAGTTTTCTACCCAGCCTCTCTTCCCTATTTAAACCACAGAAAGGAGGATCCCCCCAGAAAATACTAATTGCAAGACAAAATCTTAATTCAGCTACCTACCATTTTCTCTGGTCTTTAGCATGTTGACTAGGGCTGGCATCAGTTGGAATTCAAAGATTCTCTTGCTTTTGCAGTTATTACAGGATGGGATTCTTGCCTGCAAGTCTGCAGATGGGTGGGTAATAAATAAAGGCTGGCCATTCCAGGAGTATCTAAGAGTCAAAAGGTCCCAGACATATTATTACCCCCAAGCTTCAATTTACAGAAAAAGCTATCCCATGGCAACTAAACAAAAAATACAGTAAAAATAGTTATGATAACTTTAGCAACAGCCATAGCACTTAGATTTATATACCACTCCATAGTGTTTTACAGCCCTCTCTGAGCGGTTTACAAATGTCAGCCTCTTGGCCCCCAACAATCGGAGTCCTCATTTTACCGACCTCGGAAGGATGGAAGGCTGAGTCAACCTTGAGCTCTGCCAGGATTAAATGCCAGGCTGTGCTCAGAGTTTGCCTGCAATACTGCATTCTAACCACTGCGCCACCATGGCCCTATATTAGTAACACATGGAATAAAAGTATAATAAAATATTTTTAAAAGAAAACATCAGAAGTGAAGATATTCTGTTACAAATGGGGCCCGGTTGCCGAGCACCCACGCCCCGGTCTGTGAACCTGCACCAGGCAGGTCTGAAATTCAATGCAACCTGCCAATTTGCAGCAACTGCTTTTCTTGTTTAATGTTTACAGCAGGTATACAAAATACTTGCCAGCTGAAGGCCGCTATTCGCCTCAGATCCTCCCCTTCCACTGGTAAAGGAAAGCGGCATAACCCCCTTCTCTATCGTCCAGGAACATCACTACATTATCAGTGGCCCCACTGCTTGGAGGAAAAATGTTTTGTTTTTAAATGTCTAAAAGCCTGCCTCCCATGATTTAGGATACTCCTTCTGCAAACCCTGCTCACAGCCAGACAAGAAACACTGGAATGTAAGGGAGGTATTAGGAGGGGGGCCAAAGGAATGCAAGAGAGCCCACTCGAAGCTTGCAGCTATGCCAACGCCTCAAGGTCAGGCAGCTGGAAAAGTCCAGCCCGTTACCCAAACAAAATGAACATAGTGGACTGGAGGAAATAAAGTGACTGTGGGATGGCTGGGGAGAAAGGGGGATGTTTACTTATGCTATTTCTGCGGGAACAGCTAGAATTAGCTTTTCTACATCCATTTCCATGCCAGCTCAGTAAATTATACTCTTGGAAAATGAAACTGGCCAAGGAGTCTTTATTTGCTGAATAAACTGCGTGGGAGGGTTGACAGTAGAGCTCAAATATATTCTAAATTCTAGCTTATTTCCAAACACATTCTGTTTTTTAATACATAGAAGCTAAATAAATGGACCTAACCTACCTTAAGATCTGTTCCTGGCAGGAGGAAATTCTTTTCATGAATTTGTAGAATATCTGGTTTTTCTTTTCAGCTTCATACTTCTCATACTTCTCCCCAGAACCATCAGTGGTGTAACTAAGCATAGAGAAGCACTGATATGACACCAATCACAATATTAGTAACAAATTCAGAAGTGTTTTCTACTAAACAGAAAAAGTGAAAACTATGGATTGGGATATCCACAGGATGTGGTTAAAATCCATGACAGCAGGATTGAAGCTCTGTCTGGAGGAAGATTTATCTATACTGTTTTGTGCTGTTGACTTTATGACTGATCCTGATAATTTTTTACATTTGTATTTTGTTATCTGAATGGTCTGTACTTTTGTGAACTGCTTTGATGCCTAGAATAGAAAACTATAAATATTCAAATAGCAAGTCTCTTGAATATACTCTGTTCTATGCTTCTCCTTCTCCACATCTGCAGACCTGGCTGTTGCTTGGTACAAATTTTCTGGCCACTCTAGGACCTTTGCAATCCAGGGGAAACTTTCAGATTAACCTTGACTCAAGCCTCACCCTGCTGACATCAAACGTTCCAAGTCCACATCCTCCCTCTGCTGATACTCCTTTAAAAGCCTCTGAGCGTGATCCAGGTCATCCCAACAAAGGTAGTCTTCTTCATCCACTACACTGATGTAGTAGGGCTGGAACTCGGGGACGCAGCTGGAGGGCTTGGTTCGCTCTTCCTGAGCCAGATTACAAAAGGCCCCCCCGGTATTCTTCCCCAGGCTCATCCTCTGGAATAGAGCTGCACAGTGTGTTTCTCTGGGGAAAGTGTTGAAAATCCCGCATGGCTCAGAAGAGGCCTCTTCACAGTCCTCTCCCCAGTCATCTGCTCCATTGCACCAGTCTGTGGCTGCTTGTGTCCTTTCTTGCTCCTATTAAACCAAGGGATGCAGAAGTAACTTACGCAGAGCCAGATCCAAGCAGTTCTAAAGCAGTTGCTTTAATCCAGACGAGGTCAGGATTTTTTAAAATATTCTTTTTTAATTCCTGTGAGCCATACTTGAGATGGGCAGCTACATAAACTTAACTAATAAATAAATCTGGCTGGGCCCTTCTGCTTGCAGAACAAAGCTATACCTTTGATCTCTTTATGCTTCTTTTAGGAGACACAATGCAGATTTTGCACAGCTGAAAACACCTTTGAAATGAACACATGGCTATAGAAAAAAAAACCATTTTAAATGATAAAGAATATTTGTAGCTTGGGGTTGAAATAAGGGGTACTTGGCGCTCTCTGAACTTGCAGGTGTTTCATTACCCAAACTAGGTAACATTATCAATGCTAGTAAGGTGTATATGTATTTAACTATCTGAACATTTTTTTACCCATTATAACCTAACCAATACATAGCGGAATATTTCTGCTTCACAGAGAATGTTTGTCTGCCCTTGCATCCAGCCTGGGAAGTTGATATAAAAAGGCATGTTAGTCTTCCCATTAATATTCCCTTTAACTATACCAAGCTATATACAGTAGCTATACTTAGATAAGGTGCACAAATATAATATATTCTGATGAAGACTACACATATTATCTTGTAGCATGTTGCAAGCTACCCTTGTTTCAACAGACTAATATATATAACACTCCCTCTCCCTGTTTCACTGACACTTAGGGACGAGTTCAGCCACTAAACTCAAGCTACTAGTTCAATGGCCATTAAATGCCCCAATTCTAATGTGAATTTCCTAACTGATAGTCCAGCAAAGGCTTGTACTTCTACATTGGAAGTTCCCCCAGGCAACGAGTTATGGAATATACTCTCGGTGGCCCACGATACCTGCTTCCCTGCGCAGTCTTGTATTTCTTTTCTTGGAACTTGCAAATACTGGGATCGTAACACCTTCCAGCTTTAAAAACATGGTACAGACAACAGCAAAACAGAAACAAATTAATTAATGCTAACAAAATTGCTTCACAGTAACTTTACTAGATTTGACTGCTTACTGCAAAAAAGTTAACCTGTATAAATCAAGAAATTTCTGACTTGTATTCCTTTTTTGCCTTGTTCTCACTGGGTGAACTAATGCAGGATGCCACCCGATTCTAAAGCAGGCCACTAGTCTATTTTGCTTTGCACAATATTCATGCAACGTACGGTCTGCTTTATTACCACCGATTACCTCAACAAACTAAAAAATAAACCATGGGTTATAAATCACAATGGCTGGGTTGACATAGCATACTAAGCCATACAGGCAGTCCTTGCTTAATGATGGCAATTTCCATCATAAACCAAATCATATAACTTCCATCGCTTAGAAATTACAATTCCCACAGTCCCAGTTGCCGTTGTTAAATGAGGATCATGGATTATTAAGCAAGGACCTCATGTGGCCACGACTTGTAACTTCCCACAAGCCAAATCAATGGGGAAGCTGGCAGGAAATCTGTCCCAGTCGGCTCACAAGGCCAGTCAGCAGGTGAGTGCTACAGAATGTGGCCAGGCAAATGTATGATAGGGAGTGACGGCAGGGGGATGTTGTGTAGCAGGCTCGTGGGGAAAAAAGCAGTGGGAGTGGCTTATGGGAGTGATTTGTGACCTTCTCTGCCGATTTCCCCATTGACTTTGCTTGTAGGAAGCCAGTAGAGATCACATGACTGGGATGCTGCAATCCTCTCAAGGATGGGTTGCACATACCACTTGTTCAATAGTGTCACAACTTCAAACAGTTGCTGAACCTGTAAATTATGCTAATGATTTGCTGGGGTTCCTGAACCAATTAGCAGCTCTGGAATATTCTTTACCACTCGAGGTCTCATCCATAACTCTCTTGCAAACTCTTACAATAGGAAGGGTCTACTTCTTGAAATTGCAGAAAATTTAAAGAACTTTACAGAGCAAAGTATTAGATCGTATTACTTCTTAGTTACGTACACAAGTCTCACTTAAGCACTAGAGTTTGCCCCTCAAAAGCGGAGATGAAACCCAAACCACCTTTCAGAATTCCCCCAGCAGCTTTTCGTGGCACAAGCAAATACGTTGATGACACGGTGGTAGGGCGAGCCTTCAAGGGAACAATAGACTTGCACCACGTGCAGCAAGCCAGCCCCGCAACTCCCGCAGGCAGGATGGGCCACAGGCGCCGGGAGCCTCCAATCCTGGGAGAAAAGGGAAAGAACCGGAAGTTGTTTAACTTGTTTAATAAAGTATCTTCCTTCCGTCCTTCCTTTCTTCGTTCTTTCTTTCTTTCTTTCTTTCTTTCTTTCTTTCTTTCTTTCTTTCTTTCTTTCCTGCAAGTTGCCACGCAGCGCCAGAGAGCCCCGGCCAAGGTCGTGGCTTCCAGCTACTCCCTTCCCCCCCCCAACCGCCATAAAGCGGGCGAGGTCAACTTCGGCAGAGCGTTTCGGCCTCGCAGCGAACGCCTGGCCACCCAGCCCGGGGTGGGTGGTTGATAAGAGAAGCGTCAGCCGCGCTCCGAGAAAGAGCAGCCGGGACCGACACGCCGTCCTGCGTCGCCGCCGCCGCCGCCCCCTCGCTGTCGCCAGCACCGCGGGGCAAGAGCGCGGCTGAGCTGCGGCGCCTCCAGCGGGAAGGCTCAAGGGGCGCGGCGGGGACGGGCTCGCGGCCCTCCGAAGATCTTCCCGAGCTTTCCGGCGGGGAGCCAGGCCCGAGCGAGCCCATCACCGCCCGGGCGCCCTCAGACTGTCCCACCCAGATCGCCGGGGGGAGGCGTCGTCGTCGTCGTTCAGCGGGTCCCCGACCCACCGGAGATCCGCCCAGCTTGCTGGCGGCGCCCTGCCACGGGAGGCCCTCGCCCGGCGGGACGGCGGCGTCGCACAGCCCCAATAGCACCCGGGGCGGCGCGGTCGCCATGGCGCCTCCGGCCACCCACGTGGCGGAAACAGCGGCAGGGCGACCGGAAGCGTGGCGCGCGCCCGCCCCCTGGAGACGGCAGGCGAGGACGGCCAAATGTGGGCGCGCGAAGCTGCTTCTTTCCAGCCGGCTGGGAAGGGGCATCGCGGGCAGCGGTGGGGGGCCGCCTTGCTGCCCCGGGCGGGCCCCGCGTCTCCTCCGACGCAGCTCTTGCGCGCCTTTCACCTTCCTGACCGGCTACGGCTACGGCAATTCCGCCTCCGTGGTTGATAAGAGAGGCGAGAGAGCGGAACGCTGATCGCGGGGCTCCTCCTTGGGCAGCCGGTTCGCCCAGGCCTCGGAGGCAAAGCCAGGAGTAACCAAAATAAAACATAAAAGTCTGCACGTTTTTCTAACTTCAGGCAGGCACAGATTTAAATCATTTCCCGTTTTGAGATTAAAATCCCTGCTGAGCGTTGGTTATTGAACAAGATCTGCCTCCCTCCAATCGAAGGTCATCCAATCTTTCATTTTGCAGTCCAGAGTCGTCTCTTAAATGTAAATGTGCAAAAACTGCATCGGTGGGATGAGAGCAAACATTCTCAGCTTCCTATGGCTGAGTCACTGGTTTTCAAAACCAGAAATTGGAAATCTTGATTTTCTTGCACATCAAGTGTGTTTATCCTTTTTTGGCTTCATTGTGGTTTAGATGATCCTAATACAGTAAACCTATTCTCTGTATTTTGATACCGAATGCCAATAGAAGAACATGGACCATTAAGATAATGTAATATAAGAAAAAGATCAAAACTTTAAAATTTAGGCCAGTTAAGTTTAATACTAAGCTTGTTTTCATCCAAAGCTGTGAGGCTATAAGTTTAATTGTTAAACAGGTGATCAAACTGTGGTCTTAAAACAAGTGAGCCAAAAGAAGTGGCCCAAATATCTACGTTTGAAATATGATGGAGCTGTAAAGAAATTTCACAAAGATTAATTTACTTATTGAATGGTTTTATTCTGGCTTAAAATAGAAGACCCACTTTTCCGTAGCAAGATACACTGAAGGGATGTCATGCCCCAATTAGTAAACTCAAATAACTGATGGGTAAATCGGAACCAAATCATACCTTCATAACGTCTCATTGGTATTTACAATTTATCTGGTTTAAATAAGTTTGGGACACCTTATACAGTATACATAGTTATTGCAACAATACAGCATTTGCCTTTTGTCTAAAAAGCCCCCTCAAAACTGTTCAGTATCATGATTTGTGGATTCCAAAAAAGGCATTGTTGTGAACATGCAGAATATTACTAAACAATAGTATCTAATTCTACAGTTGCCAAATAATTGACCTCATATGGAAATGAATTACAAAATACTTCCTTATAGTGCTATACAAAAAATATAAAATTATGATTCTATCACCTTAATATTCCCATTTGCTAACAGTGCATTTATCCACATTTTATCACGACTGAACATGAAGGAAAATGAACAAAAATTCAGCAAATTAGATAAAATATTTTAATCTTTGGATCCCTTTATTCTTGTGGCTTTCAGATATACATAAAAATACAAATTATTAAAGATCTGTATCTAATTATAACTTAATAGCAAAAGAAGTCATAACTAGTTATTCAGAATTAACCTCAGTTACTCCAGGCAAAATCACTCTAGTGATACTGGGGTAAAAATGAACAGTCAATGTCTCCAAGCTACAGTCCATCAAAACTCTGGCAATTGCAGACACTAAGAAATCACTTTTAATTGAGTATGCCAACAATACAAAACATTTTAAGAATCGATACATGGAGACATTTCATTTTTATTCCAGGCACCTCAATGGGAACAATTCAGGGGCTGGTTCTTTTTTCACTTACTATCATAACGTGACTTTCAAACTGTGCATAAAGTGTTACAGTTTATCTTTATCTAAATAGTCCCTTAGTGTGGTCCAGTCCTTCAGCAAGACCAAAAACTAGAAAATGAATTTCTTGCAAGAGAAATATTTTAATCCTTCTGAATAATGGAAGAACATTTCAAATATTTATTGGTAGTCAAAATATAAAAACAAACAAATTTAAAGCTGAAAAGCTAGAAAGAAACCTTCCAAACATGTGTTTAGCATTTCAACACGGCAGTTTTGTAAGACTTAAAAATGTTTATTCTTAAAAAATTAGTTGCTTTTTATACAGCTATACAAAATCCCTAGTGTTTCTTTGGCAATGGGATAATCATGGAATTATACAACTATAAAAAGCTTCCTTTGCCTAAGAAACAGCATTTTCAATGTTTATACTTTCTTTACTGACAAACCAAATTTTCTACTGCCCAGCATCCTGTTTGACAAAAGTTACAACTATCTGAGAAGAGAGATTATAGGATTTCAAATACAACCTTCACAGGATCAACACACTCACAGTACTGACGGCCTTCTGCATACAATTGTCTTTGCAGCCTGCAGCAATTATAAAATACAATTTTAGTTCAGAAAAACCCTTTGTGTAATGAAAAAAAAAATACTAAAACTCCACAGAAGTACTGCTTTATACTTTAACTATATGTAAGAAATTATTTAAGTTTTCTATCTCAAATATATTTAATATTGTTTTTGAAGATGGCCATATTTTCAAAAAAAGCTACTGCTCCTTTGAAATTAAAAACAAACACCAGTGCTGGTGAAGTTTTAACAGCAAATGAACATAATTCTTTGCAAAAAACCAACACCTTTTCGGTACCATGAAGATCAGCAAGTCCACCTGCTTTCAAATTCTTTGTAGATTATGCTGCAACTTTGTTGTCTTTCTAAAAAGTAATATAAGATTAACATTATTTTTGGTTCAAGCTGATATAAAGTCAATTTGATCAAGAACATAAACATTTTGAAAGATGGGCAGCCATACAAATTTGATAAATAATAAACTAATAAAATTTTCAAAATGAATGAGTTTCATTACATCTACTTTACCAACTATGTGTTATATAACATAAATAACAATAACTACTGTACATCAAAATATGAATGAAATAGAACAATTTCTGCTCTTGAGAAAAAATTAAGGCATGCCTCTTACTTTAGTGCCTATGTTTAGTCTGTGAAAAGTCCCAATTCATTGCCTAGTACAGATGGAAAGATCCTTGCTATTGCTGGGGAGTATAGCTTAATGATGTAAGACAGAGGAGTGATATGACTTGATAAAAAGGAAACTTCACCATGAATTTGTAGCCCATTTATTGTGGTGCTTAATTAATTAATTCAATGAGGCACCAACCAGTGGTGGAAAAGGAAAGGAAAAACTGGCACAAAGATTCACAGAACCATTTCAGATTTTCTCTTTCACTGTACTTGTAAGATCATGCTATAAATAGTTTTATGATAACCATAAAGATATACTGAGATAATGGTACCATAAGTAAAGAAAAAAGTGAGTGAATTATATAAACTATTTCAGTTCTGTAAGTAGCACGACAATTAGCAATTTACAGATAGTAATAATATTGGTAACTGCCTTACCCTATATTCAAAATCCGCAAACTCCCTGCCAGCACGGCCACCTCTGAATCCACCACGAAAACCCCGAGGAGCATGGAAGGTTCCTCTTGCGTTTCCACGTCCTCTACCTGCCCGGAAGCCACCACCTCCTCCGCTTCCCCCTCTGCCTCTGAATCCCCCCCGACCACGGTTTGAACGCAATGGGATTCCAAATGTCTCTGCATTTATTCTTCTTTCCTCTGCCCAGGTTGGTCTTCGTTCTCTGAAAGTTACAGAAGTGATATGTTGCTGTTGCTTCAAGTCATGACCAGTTTTTTCATAAAAAGATATCTGCACCAAATGACCACTAGAAATGCCAGGGTTAGTTAGCAAAATGAAAGGTAAAAACTGCATTACAGCACATTATGTAACCTGTTTCTCAAACCTTTAGTAGTAGATACCCAAAGGAAAAGAGACAGGTGAATTTAGAAATGCCAGCATTTTCATTAAGTTCCACTTGGGAGAGAACTGAGATCAGAAGGAATTCATTAAACTGTTGATGAAGTGACGCAGTACTTAGAAGTCTCCCAAATGTAAAAAAAAAAAAATAGGTTGCACCTTTTTGCAAGAGAAAAATGATGAAACAACTTTGTCCACTGCCTCAGCCTTGGATTTTGAGAGAACCTGCCTGATTTTAGCAGAAGTCTCAATCTCAGTGTCAGGTCTGCCATCTTCACCACACTCTGCTTTGTTGGCATCCTGCCATAAAATGCAGGGGAGAGAGAGAAATTGGGGAGGTAGGAGGGGGGAATGACAGGATGACAGGAACCAAAGGTGTCAATCCAGAACAGATTGGCCATGAGAATGGAATGCAAAACTCCACCAAAGAGGCACCAAATATCATTGGAACTGGTCAATGGGGGAGGACCAGGGAAGAGGGAAAAATGCAGACTTTGCTTGGGAATATTCAGATCCAGCTTTGCTTATGCTGTAACCACTTGACTTTAGTAAAAGTAAACCTTTCACTTCAAAAATGGAGTCGAGGGTCTTTCTTTCCTAAATGCTCAAGTCGGGACAAGCCTGAAACTCGAAGTCTCCATCTATGGTTCATATGGCCTGCAGCAAAATGAGCAGAGTAGAATGAACTGTGGCAAGCCTGAGTACAGAAGAAAGATTATAGTTATAAAAACAAGTTACTAATATTTGCGTTAAATCAAAAGTTGCACCCACCTATACGATGCACTAGTCCAGTTCATTCTACTGCCTTCATTCTGCTTAATGTGAAAAAGAAACTTCAGTTCTCTATTCACATTCAAAATTCTGGCTCAGACATTCTACATGTTAGTATCAAAAGAACATTGTGTGTAGCTTGCTCAGAAAAACCTGGTACCTGTTGTCATCACAAGAAATGTTATCAAAGAAAGACTTGGTTTTGTCATAGTAGCAATTTGGGCCAAGAGGGTCTTCATCATCTGCATTGCCTTCGCTGTTTTGGGTGTCAACACCTGAATCGCCTTTATCTTCCCCATTCACAGGTTTTTCAGG